TCCCTCTGTACAAAAGCTACCTTTTTTTAAGCGTGCATTACCACCATTACCAAAAAGTAATGGACACGTAGGTGGTGTAGAGCAAGCAGAAGATGCGCTTACAACGATGGTATCTAAATGCGAGAGTCCAACTTCTATACCGCCGCAAATGCCTCCACCTGCGCCAAAAATCGAAGAGGAGCCGACAGAAGATACTAGTATGGATTTTGCTGCTAGCATTGAGAAAGTAAAAGATGTATGTAATTTATCTTTTTCACTGCACGTTAATACATTTAATATTAAGCTGTTTTTTTATTATTAACACGAACTCTTTTTAAAATAGTATGGATGGTATTGGGGCCCAATATCTGGTGAAGCTGCAGAGAAAATACTGTCCAATGAACCAGATGGGTCATTCATTGTGCGAGATAGTAGCGATGATCATTATATTTTCTCTTTATCATTTAGACTTAACAGTTGCGTGCGACATGTAAGAATAGAGCATGATCAGGGTAAGTATTTTTACTCTTGATAGAAGGAATATTTCTTTATATTTCCATGTTGCTACTTTAAATATTTCATTTTCTTATCTGTACAGGTAATTTCAGCTTTGGAAGTTGCACAAAATTTAAGTCCCATACGATCGTCGATTTTATTGAGAATGCGGTAGAACATTCGCGTAGTGGACGATACTTGTTTTTTCTTCATCGACGGCCAGTGTTAGGTCCAATGCGTGTGCAACTTCTTCATCCAGTGTCAAGATTCAAACAGGTTCAGAGTTTACAGCATATGTGTAGATTTGTTATATTGAAAATCGTACGCAGGGATCTTATTCCAACTCTACCTCTGCCTCGGCGGCTCATCGATTACCTGAGTATGCCTCATTACTACAGCGAACAATTAGCCGAACAAGATGACAGAGCTGAATCTCCTGTTAGTTCTTCAACTGGTGAATTAGAGAAGATTTGTTTCACACCACAAGGCCTATCGTGAGGTACAAACGTATAATTTATTTTTTATGTTTTTTTTTTTAAATACTTGCCAAATGTTTAGTACATATAGTTTAAGGTTTAAAGCATTATACAATTCTGTTTCATATGGTTTTATTAAGCAATATCATGATGAAATATAAGAAAAAAAAAATAGCTGATTTCTACATACATTATATAAAAACTTAAATTTCAGACGTAATATCTAACATCTTTTTGTAAAGAAGGGTAATCCGTTCCACGCAGCTCGTATATAGAATTATGAACAATGTAGTTACAAAGCATAAAAGTACTAAAAAAGATATAAAACAAAAAATAATATTCATTAAAAGATAATTTTGAATTAGAATGCATATTCGCGTAATTCTATTGAAGGTGCACAGATAAATTGACAATTTGATCTTTGAATTTGCGGTCGTTTAATTCTGTCAAAATGATTTCCAGAGCACGTGTAAAATAATTTTAACAAATTCGATATATTACTTTCAATTCAGTTCCTGTTTCTTGTTTTAACATAACAAATTACAATTTCATATGATCCAATGAATGTATAATATTCATATATAATAATGTAAATCAGTGATTAAATAACTCCTTATGTGCCATATATCTTATATTGCAGTCTTCAATTGGATATCAAAATCGTAAATACTTTCATTTTTTATTAAACTTTGTTTAACAAATTATGTTTTTACCAGAGATTATTCAATTATGCATTTCATTATTCGTTATAGAATTCTAAAATTCGTGTTTTAATAGGGAAGCCTACTCGATGCAGTACAGCCTACATTTGATATTCCACTTTATCGGATGATCAAATACAGAGTTAATGAATCAGTTTTTAATATGATACACATACAAGCAATTATAAAAAAAAAAAGAAGTCGTAGACTAATGGTACATTAAGATATAATCTGGCATATATAAATATCAGTTATCGCGTCTGTCAACTACAGAAAATTTCAATATTAATCAGTTTAACAATGTTGTTGTATCATTTTTTAAGTTTAGATGTAGCTGTTACAGACTGATTAACTTAGAACAAATATTCAACGAACTAATGGAATCATAATACTTTATAAATATCTTCATTTAAGCATCATGTATATTTTCTTATAAATTATTGTATAATTGTTTTTGAGAATAATCTTTGGGTGGAACACAGCTTTATTATTTTATATTGCTTTATAATGTAAATATTTTTATATATATTGCTTAACTTTGTAAAATAATATTAAATCATCAAGGATTTTTGAATCCTTGGCATATTAGCTATATATATATATATTTTTTGATTTTTTTAAGTTTATAAGAAATAATTAATTGATGTTACAACATGCAATCTCTTTTAATGTACCACAGTTTTCGTTTTTTTTTTAATAGCCAATTTTTAAATAAGATTTGATAATATTTACCTTGAAAGGTAAAAAATTCTTTATTAAAACTGATTAGCGACTGGTGCTATATAAAATTATAAATTATAGAATTCTGATTCCTTAAATTATGCGGTTGAATCGAGGTAATCGAAGTCACTGTTTATTCTTGTGCTCAGATAAACTCAACAAGATTACATCGTGCTAAGCACTTGTTCGAATTTAATTATATTGTATTTAATTTTATTTAGACAATTTTAAAAGTTTCGGATAAATTTTCGAAATATACATTTTATTTGTAATCGTTATATAAAGTTTAGATTATAACTTAATATTAAGAATTAATATAAATCAGATGAAAAGTTTTCAATTTGCAATTTCGAGTAACCAAATGGAAAAGTAGGAAGGAGCTTCAGATAAAATTTAGTAAATTATAATGACATATATTTTTATTTTTATCCCTTTCCTGAAGAGGTGTACAATCTCGTCTTCAGAAATGGAGATATTACTTTGATAAATTTTGTATTCTGTAATGTTATACAGAGCTCACTATAAAGCACTGATGTAAAAATAGATTTTTCAAGGAAGGGGAGAAAGTTTTTATACAAAATGTGTACTGACTGTTACTAGACACATTAATTAATAGATGTTTGTTTTTATTTTGTCTTTAAATTGCTTTTCCTATGCAGCTTCATGAATCATGGAATAGTGAAGACCACATATACATATTGCTCAGAATTTTTTGTTTGCACTTTCTTGAACTTCGCAGTACTACACAAACAAATTTTATACTCAATATTCACGTGGTAGATTTTGCAATATAAGTACTATTACCAGATTGAAAAGACTAAGTCTAAGGATGAATTTAAACATATGTGAAGCATGTGCGTATAATTAATGGTTAAAGGCACCACGATACCTCAGCCGACGAGGGAGGTATGTAGAGCAGAATTAGTATCATTTTATAACAAATGTATTTTACATTAATATAAATTGCACATACGCGTTCTTGTGAAAAATTTGCATTACTGAAAAATATCAATGCCTTATTTAATTATGTTTTATGACTATTAATATCAACATTAAGAAAAATATATGAACAATTCTATGCCAAGTGTTACTGAATGATATATTTCTGAAATTTTTATTGTGTCATTATACATAAAGAAATATGTTATTTAATAGTTTTACATTTTTATAATGCCTTTTACAAGTAGGCATGTAAAAAATATTGAATTTACAAATAAACTTCTGATATTGAAATGTGATATTATTAGTAATACATATATAAAAGTTGTGAAAGAAAGATACTTGTATTAATCAGGGATATTAACATTCTTTGAAAGTAAATATCGTTTTAAATAAGATCAAGAAAGATTCATTTAGTTAGGATACTATTGTATTTGATATTTGATAAAAAGATGCACTTGGCATAGGGTAATAATTTATTTGTTATATACCAAAGTTTATAATTGTATTCAAAGTACAACATTGATTTATCAATTTTGTGCTTTTTATAACTATTTAAGTGTACACTTCATCAATTATACATTAATATCACACAGCAATTTAAAAACTCATTTTGGATAAGTAAAAATAATAAAAGAAATAAAATATTTAAAGATTACTATAAGGAATACATTTTTAAAATATAAGCAGTGTTGTACTTTGATTATAATATATTGGTACAGAAATCATTATTGTTTGTTACGCATAATTTACAAGTGCTAGTCATAAATATTGCATTTTAAGTTGGACTTCAGTATTGTTTACTAATAAATATCAATTTACTTACGAATACTTGCATTTGTTTTTCATCTTTTTCAGAGATATGATCCAAACGTAATTTTAATAGAAGAATATTACAAAATATGTAAGCTGTTCATTGTTATTTTTCACTTTAGTAAAATTTAATGATTATCCTTAATCTTTAATATCCTTATCTATAATTTCATAATTTATTTGTTCTAGTCTGTTATTATTTATCACCAAAGTCGACGATTATTAGAGTGAGAGGAGTACATGATAATCAGAAAAATAGGGGTATGAATGATTCATTGAGGCTTTAATAAGATAAGGAGTGTAATACTATAAGGAAAATGAAACCTGAGTAAGAAATACCTTTATATTTTTTTATTTATAATTATTTTATTTAGAAATAAGTTGATATAATTTGTTATGAAACAACTGATTTTATTACAACTTTTAAATATATCAATTCTAGCATACCCCCAACAATTTCCATAATATATTTATCTAAGATGTTACTCTAGTTTCATTTTTCAATTGCTTACAAGTAATATGACCCTTTTGCAAATACAATATTTTTCTGCATTACAGCAAAATGACTTAATTATAAATTGTTCAGTAATGAATACTTCATGCTATTTTCGTGATCATAGTACAAATAATTTTAACAATTCAAACTTCATGAGCACAAGAAAAGAATTCTGTTTTTGATTAATTTATTACAATAAAGAGTACTCGAAGTATAAACAAATGCATATGTATTTGATTACCCATGTTTGTACTGCAATGTTGAAAATATGATACATTCTTTGAAACTAACATACCTAGATACCATTTTCTCTCAGTGCAATACTTGTTTACTTCTTATCACATACATAAGCGTGAAACATGTATTTGTAAGCATATAAAATTAAACTTAAATAAAATTTTATTATTTTAAATACAACATATATTTTTCACTGAACCACATGACATTTTAATTACACTTTTGTTTCCAGTTAAATATTAAACATCCTAATTTAAGGTGGAATACCAAGAGTTTTCCTAACTAGCTTCTGAGCAATTCTTTCAAATTCTGGCCGATTTTCTCTCCACATTTTGGCAGCATCAACATTTGCTCCACTTTCATCATTTGGCTCTGCTAACATACTTACCACACTTAACAATATTTTTTCTACACTCTGAACTGGGCTCCATCTTTCTGCACTACTTTCATAGCCCATTGGATCATCTCCAGGTGCATGTAATATACTTATACATACTCTCCCATCTGCATAAACTAAATAAAAATTAAATTGTTAATTCTTAACAGGTCATTTTAATGCAATATTACAATATCTCATTCAAACAGATCTTACTATTTGGATGAAACATTTCACAAGTAAATTGCATTTTTGGTGGGCTTAAGGGATAGTCTGGTGGAAATATCAGTTTTGCAGGAAATACACCTCCTTCGAAGCATGTTCCTTCAGGACCACTGCAAAGAAATTTAGATTCTATAATATGGTGTTTAAGTCATCATAAGATCTTCAGCAGTTAAATACATACGTGATTAAAGCTTCCCATTCAAAAAAGTTTTCTTCATTTATTGGACCAGCAATAATGCCTTCAGGTGGATTTAAGGTTAATTCTGTAAGTTACGCATTATCTATTATAATCTCGTTCAAAATTCAGTAGAAAAAGAAGTAAGTGAAATAGTTTTATGCGAAACTTCAAATGAAGGGTAAGGTACAACATTAAATCTGATCCTCACGTTTGTACTCTGCCATTAATCGTCTTAGTGCAGAACCCGCCATTGTTTTGATCATGAAGGTTAATAATGATACTTTATGAAAATGTCAAAAGATGAACATTAGGTAAAAGTAACAATGATCAAAATCATCATCATTGATTTATTTGTGTTTAATTATTTTACAAAACTTAAGAGTCAACAACTTGTTTCTGCAAAATTTGAAAAGATACAATGTTGATTTGAGGGTTTAAATGGCGACAGAAGAACATAAATATTTAGCAGGTGTTATAAAAAAGACTCATGCCACGTTGCGAAAAGAAGCTCAGGATCATGGTCCTGAGATTGCATGGAATCGTCATATAACACGTAAAGATGTTTTACAGGTTTGATTTCCGTTTAAATTTTTATACTGATTGTGTATAATATTTTTTTTAATTGTTACCTATTTGTATTTTAGGAATATGCCCATTCTATGCAAAAATTGGCAACTACATATTGGATGAAAAATAATTTAAACACAGAAAGTTCAACTCATTCTAGGATAGAATGGATTAAATTTCAATGTCAAGAGTACTTTTTAAATGGTGGAAGTGAAAAATATAATAATAGAGAAGAAAGTATTAGGATAAAAATTAACACAAATAATCTAGAATCTACTGAAGTTCCTATACATTATAATTCAAGCATTGAAAATAAGGAAAGTCCAATACCAAAATACCTTGATAACAACACAGATTTCTTTGCTCAAAAAATAGCTTTGTTAGATGTAGGAAGTTGTTATAACCCTTTTGGAAGTTTTAATATCTTTGAGGTAACTGCAATAGATCTGTATGGTATACCAGATAAAGTTTTGGGTTGTGACTTTTTGAATGTTCATATTGGAAAAGAGAAAATACTTTCTGATAATAAGGAAGAAGTTCTACAATTGCCACAAAACTCTTTTAATGTAGTTGTATTTTCTTTATTTTTGGAATATCTACCATGTCCAAAACAAAGATATATTTGCTGCAAAAAAGCTTATGATCTATTGCAAGTTGGTGGTATACTTTTCATTATAACTCCTGATTCAAAACATGTTCATGCTAATGCTAAACTTATGAAATCATGGAGATATGTACTAAGTAAGTTAGGATTTATGAGGATAAAATATGAAAAACTACGACATATGCATTGTATTGTGTTTAGAAAATGTATATTTAAAGATGTTGCAACAAGATGGGCAAATTTACAAAACTTATCCAGCGATGATCCCTTATATTTTGATAGTACCGCAATTTATATTCCACAAGATTTTAGAAATGAATCTGATGAAATCAAACATCAAGAGCAAGAAGAATATGATTCAGATGAAATAACATCTATGTTTGGAGAATTACCTTTTGATCCATAACAAAAAAATACTAACTTTTAACGTAGTGGTAACCTTGCTTGAGGATGCGCGTTCATAGGGACATTTGTTAATTTTTATAGAATTATCATCCATCTTGAGCAGTCCTTTCTTATTTCTGTTCTTTGGTCGTACACGTGGTGAGTTCATTTTTGCTGTATATTATACTTATAAATAATATTTTTTGTATATATTAAAGCTTCTCATGAGATTGTTTAAATAAGTGTTTTGTTTTTAATAATAAAAACTATTAATTGTATCAATAACTGTTGTATTTTTGGTAATAATGATGTAGGTTAATTTCTCAGCTGCTAAATTTTGGGATTACAATTGATATAAGTAAAATTAATAGTAAAAACTGAATGTTTAAGTTTGAAATTATTTTCAGACCATTCAAGATGTCATCTCATTTAAATTGGATGATTATTCGCAATAACAATGCTTTTCTTCTTAAAAAGCGTAATATCAGCAAACCATTTTCCACGGTTTGTACTAGCTCAGTATGCTTTCTAAACGTTTAAGTTCGTAGGTTCTAAATGTTTATGTATAAAATTTTAGGAACCTAACAATTTGACCAATCTGAGTAGCTATCGTTATTCGGGTTTAATTCATAGGAAAAGCGTGGGTATTGTTGACACTCCTGATAAAAAAGGATTTACAGTCGTTTATAAAAAACCAAGATCACTTAAAAAACCTGCAAAATCCACTGTACGGTGTACAATGAAAGCTGGAGCCCGCCGTTCTTTACATAAATTGAAAAGATTGCTTACAAAGAACAAATACCGTGTAGATCTTTCTAAGGTAAATTGATTTATTATAGGAAAGCTTTTAGTTTGGTGTTTTGGAAAAGTAATTATTACAATGCTAAATGGGTTATTTTTAGGCTGCATTACGTCGTGCCAGTGCTGTTCTGCGTTCCCAGAAGCCTTTACCTGCAAAGAAGACCCGTACAACTAAAAAGGCTGATTAATCTATGTACATTAATAAACATATGTTTTAATGTAAATATATAAATGTGACATATGTTGCAAAGAAGATTTGTTTAACTTTAGTATATATTAATGAAATGCAAGTAATTGAAGATAAATTATTACAAATCATGCTACAGGTATTTAAATATTAAAGTGAATACTATAACATTTCTCCTTTGCAGCTGTGTCCAGTGTACTTATTTCCATAATTTTATTGCAAAAATAGGGATAAACATTTTTCAATGAAAGGTAAGATTTTGTACATATAATAAATAATATGTTTAAATAACTGTTTCTATCATTATGGTTACAGGTTCGTCGGTTGCATATTAAAGAGCTATGTTTTACATAGGTAAGTTACATTCACTTGTTTTTTTGATACTTATAAATTTTTTGATGTTTATGATGATACCATAACCACCAAGATCTCTGAGTGCCATGATTAGAATTTTGTATTTGCTATCTGATGTTGATGTATATTTTCTACCACTTTCTTAATTAAATATTTTAATACTAACATGAGAATAATGTTTTCAGATCCAGTTGGAAAATTGGACGTTTTGTGGATATTATAATATGTAAGTAAATGTAAATATGGATTTATTTAATATTTACATAGTTTTGATCTTTTTATGATGAAATTTTCAACCACCAAGATCTATGAATGCCCTGATTAGGACTTGTATTTGCTATCTGAAATAATTTCTTTAAAAAAAAAATCGCTTTTATATGCGACAAGACAAGATTACTAATCAGGATAAATTAATTTCAGTTTGAGGTACCCAGGTATTGCCAAAAAACGAAATGTACGAACATGTAAGTATAGAATACCTGTATCTGGCTTATACAGTACTAACTTTTTTTAATGATGAAATTCAATACCACCAAACTCTCTGAATGCCATGATTGGTTACAGTATTTGCTAGCTGATTCATTCATAATAACAGTTCTAATTTGTTTAATACAGGAATAACATTAATAGTGTTTCGTTTTTTGCAGATGGTTCTGAATACATTTAATATAAAAGTTCAATGGACGCACATCTAAGTAGGTAATATATTTGTTTAATTATTTACTTTATGATAGATGTAATCACTTCATATACATATGATGATTCATTCACCAAGATCTATGAGTGTCATGATCATAAATTTGCTACTTCTGATAATAACATAACTCATTTAGCTACTTAAATTGTAAGGAAATGTTTGTAACACATGTACGTTTTCCTTTGCAGGTCATAAATCTTCTGAAAATAATGGTGTGCTTCAAAATGGCAATGTTTCATTACATGTAACTTTGTAACATTGAAATAATGTTTTAAGATAAAATAAAATTTCTATCTTTCAATTCTTTTAATTTCACCTCTTATGTTTCCCGTTATCTACATTATTATTATTGGAAAATGAATTAAAAATAATTGGTTGCATTATACACTACTTGTATTACTTGTATTTATTGCGTTACAAACTACTATGGGGTTCTAGACACCCCAGGATGACATCAGGTCGGTATGCAGAGCGCCACCAGTTCAACGGGGTCCCCGATACCCCAGATACCATAATGTCGATAAAGAAGAAAATGTTACCTCGACTAGCGCCATCTATCCATAAACAGCGGAACCGAGTGGTCGATAAGTCGGTAACTAGTTTCAGCTACTTCCTGATAGATGGCGCTAGTGTTCCGGTATATCGAAAAACCGATTGAATACAAATAATACTTATATCTGTCAAATTTTATATGCTCATAATAAAGAGACACATAGGCCTGAGAGGGATCTCAGGAATTTATTTAAAAAAAAAAACCGATTGATAACGTGTTGAGTAGTTTGAGCCGTTTGTGTATAGATGGCGCTGTGGTCGAAATAGAGAGTACAACCCCCACCTCTATGACGTCCGAAGACAGACTGACTAGGCAGGTTCCATATTTGCCCGCCTAAGGCATTAAAATTTTCAAACATTTTACTAATGGTTCTCTTCAGGTTTTCTCAATACTAACAAGCCTAATTTGCACCCCAGTATACAAAATTTTCTTTCTGATAACAATCACTGTTCTTAACATATTCAACTCCCATAAAGGTCGCCTCAAAAGCAGAGCGTACCAAGGTGTACTCTCTGGTACCTCCTCGAGAAGAGCTTAACGAGACACTGATTTTCATAATTCACTGAAGAAGGGAACTCCATCGTTTTTCTTACGAGGTGGACGCTCGACTCGATCGATTTTCTTAAGCGTCTTTCCTCCGGTGTGCCCCTCGGCTGCTTTCGGCCGCAAAAGAAGGAAAATAAGGCTGCAATGACAGAAGGTTTCACGGTGGTATAGACATTGCTGCCTGCCTGCCACGAACACTTCTCTACACCCCTAGCAAAGAGTAAGTGGACCGTGATGAACAGAGAGAGAGTATACGGTCATGCGTGATATAAGAGAAGAAGAGGAACGGTGGTAAGATGACGAAAAGAAGAAGCAGGGAGGAAAAGCGACAGGGTATAAAAGAAATCGCAAAGGAAGGGAAAACCAAGAGGGAAAAATAAAGTGGCTAACAAAGATGTAAGATGTAAAAGAAACGAGGAGGTGGTAGAAAGGGATGGAAAGGGGTAGAAAGGAAGGAAGGTCGGAAGGAAGGAAGGAAGGAAGGAAGGAAGGAAGGAAGGAAGGAAGGAAGGAAGGATGGAAGAATGGTGAAGAAGAAAAAAGGGAAGAAAAGAGAGAGAGGGAGAGAGAGAGAGAAGTTAGAAACGGTCCTCTCGTAGAGACGAGGAAAAAAGAAAAGATTCATGAATAATGCAGGAGTGAAAGCCGGCTGAAACAA